TGTTTTTGTGTTCAACAAACTAGATGCCAAGAATTGGAAAAAGTGTTAAATAAAGAAATTAATCATTATCTCATCCCTAATTTTTCTTGAAATTGGGGAAAGATTAACTTAATTTTTTTTTTAGCAAAGTAAGATCTCATTCCAAGGGATGAAATACCTGAGTGGAGAATACAGCGTCTAATCTCTGTATGTGTTAGAGTAGCAAAAAAAAAAAAAAAAAAAAATCAGTTTGTAAAAAGCAGATAATCATTTTTCTCCATTTAATGTGACTTTTTGCATTGACCTAGTTAAACAAAATAAATGGTGTTTCTTAGACTCTCTTGCTAATGTTTCCTGGTCTTTAACAATAAAAATGGTTGTTCTACCTAGTCACATTAAAGTGTGAAGATCGAAATGGGATAGTTAAATTTATTGATAGTGCCTTACATGTAAAGAATTTAGAAGTGGGATTTTCTCCTGGATTGTCTGGTTGAAGTAATATATGGGTGCTTGGAAGTTTCTATTGTGTTAGATATGGACATGATTTGAATAGTTAACTAATTTATAAATATCAGTTGGGTTTGGAGGAATGGAGAGATTTCAAAACTGAGTTTTGTGCACATCCTCTTGTGTGTATGTGTGTTCGTTATTTTGCGTTGTCATTCTTATTAGTCCTTGCAAGATTTGGTCTTGAGATATTAAACTATAAAGGCAAAAATATTAAATTACAAGCCACTCTCAGGCATAAAGAACAAATGCTTTAGTTTGAGTTCTAAAGATATTTTCATGATTTAAAATTACGTACAGAAATTGATTGTGGTTGAATTTGTTTAGACTCTAGGCTAATATAACACACAACTAACACCAACCTCAAATATCTATGTCTTTTCTTGTTAATTAATTGTGTTCCGGATCTCTGTCATAGCACAATCAGTATTTTGACTCAAACTATTTTTGTGGTGTAGCATACTCGGGCTATGTAGGTGAATACATATTCTGGATCTAAAACAAAGTAATTGTTATTCTCTTGATAGAGCTCATAATTATGGTGTAATTTTTTTTTTCTTATTAAAGAACCACATTTTATAGTTGCTATGATCATTGTTTGGATTTATCTTTTCAGATTTAATTCATCTCTGGAGGGTGGGAGGGTCCTGGTATTATATACTTTGTACCATAGTATTCTCTTAGGTTAATTTTGACTAACATGCCTAAAAGAATGTAGGAGGGACATTAAACCTAAAAAATTAAATAAATCACATTACATTGAGAAGAAAGTTTACATTTCTTAATATTGGAACTTTATTTTCAGGCATTAGAAAAAAAACAGACAGAAAGAATCCCGACTGGATGAATTGAACAAACTGGACAAACCCTTGTGGAGCAAATGGAAAAGGTAAGACCCCCCCTTTTTTCATATTTTTTAGATGCGCACACCAAATAATATTATAGTTTGACATATTAAATATTTGTTTTAAAACTCTCACCCTCTTTTTGTCAGGAAAATGGTTTACAATTTTTTTTAGGCATTAAATCTTTTAAAAAATGAAATTTTATACTGAAGCTGATTATAAAAAACAGATAAAAGCAAGATGTTCTGTTTTATATGGGGCCAGGGAATCAGAAACCCTGATACATTAGTAGAATAGTTAAAATTAAGTGGTATAGAAGATTTAAAACCTCATCCTTTGGGGTTATATGTTGGGAGTATTTTTGCAGGTGTGTAGCAAAATAAAACTTTACTTATGCAACATTTGGGAATTGAAGTTAAATTAAGGTAAATCCATTAAGGGTATTTGATTTCTGATTACTTTCAATGTATTATATTGATTTATTAAATTTTTATAGTTAAATTGATAAGGTATTACTTGTATTTGAAATTTTTATCTGCAAAGTTTTTTTTTTTGCTATAGCTCCCAGTGACCCAGAGGAGTCTAAAGATTAATTTTCTAGCTATGCAGGTTTACAAATGATTCTCTTTGTTCTACCTTTGAAAGACATTTCTTGTATTTCCTATTCCTAATTCCTAGTAATAGTAAGTGCTTTGGAGTGTGCTGTAGCTCTCCTTGACAAAGCCACAGACACCTAAAGCAGAATTAGGAATATTAGTTTGACAAGAATCTTCAAAATGGTAGCATTAAATCTTTTTTTTTTTTTTTTGACTTTTTATTATGGAAAATGCAACTATATACAAAGCAAATCGAATAGTATAATGAACTTTCTTGTATCAGTTACTCAGGTCAGTAATTGACAATATTCTGCCATCTTTGAATTGTCTATGCTGTTATTCACTCTGCACCCTTTTGATTATTATTAGTTTTATATTTTTTTTGCAGAACTATTTACTTACATTGAAATACATGAAACTTAGATGTGCTGTTTTGATGAATAGCTACACCTGTGTAACCTACACACACAAATCACTATATAGGAAATTTCCATCTTTCTAGAAAGTTCTCTGGTGTCCCTTTTGGATCAGTCACCTTCCTCCAGTTCCAGAAAACAACTGTTTTTATTTTTTCTTTTGACCTTATTTTTGCCTCTAGCCTTTCAAAAAATATATTCACTTATTTTGTGTATTTCCTGGACACATACACACATAGGTATATGTACACACAAATGTAGTATAAAACATATATGTGTCATGTATGTTCATTTATTTTGAAATTATGCAGATATATCATTATCAGTCCATATATTATTAGTGAAGGTTAATTTCTCTCTGAAAAAAAAAATTAAATAGAAATAAAAATTAAATAGTATTTTCTTTTAAAATCCACGCTAAGCATATTGTCTTAGTTATTCTATGTGTGGCCACCTGACTTGGAGATTGCTCTTTCAAATATTTACTTAAAGAGACCCAGAGACATACAGATGATAATTTCCCTTGAGGTACTAATTCTCTCAATAGTTATAATACATTGGGTGCTCAATTTATGTCAGTTACAATTGTAGATTCTTTACTTCTAACTCAACATTGTACCTTGGAACTCAACGGCTGTGTGTTGTGAATGTGGGAAAACTTCATGTGTCTGTGTGCTGAATTTACCCCCATTTCTGTGTCAGCTTTTAGGTGATTTGGCAGAATTAGACTAATTAGAATTAGTCTTCCCTATCAATCTTCACTTCACTTTGTTTAGATGGGAAGTTGGTGAGATGTTGTAGTGAGAATAGCAGTGAATGGAGAACAGGTGAACTTGCATTCTCCTGTCCTTTTCTAGTTTCTTGTCTTTGGGCAAGTCTTGGAACTCTTTTGTTTCTTTGCTCTGGCATCTGGAAAGTGAAGGAGTTCATTAGCTGACTATAGCCTTTGCTCGATTAAATCTTGCTGTGAGTAGGCAGGTCCTAGAAATACATACTGTGGGAATTGAATTCACTTGAAAGTGCTGTTCACAAAAGGCCCAGTGCAACATCAGGGAATATATGATATGTGGCTTTATAAAGGAATGAATTTTGTCACCTAATGTCTACTTGTCCAATTTAATAGGAAACTGTTTGTATTTTGTATTACCGTTTTCCCCCAAGCATTGGTAGAATTACAAATGCATTCATTAGAGGACCCTAATTCTATTCATTTTTAAAAGATATGTCTGTTTTAAAACATTTTTAGGATAAAAGTGAGAAGCTGGGAAATGTGGGAACTGAACTGAATGGGTCTATATATATGGTTCAGTTCAGTTAGGACTGAGTATCAAATTCTTTAGGAAAACAGATGTTCAAATAATCATGTCGCTGTTTTCCTGAAACCAGTTTCATCAAAAGCCCACCACAGCCAAGCCCGCTAGGTCTTTCCTGCCTAATGCATTTCACTTAAGTTTTGTGATATCTCATAGAGCATAAAAAGGTTTCTAAAACACAAAATAATTTGTTTCATTTGACATTATGGCTGATATACCTGGTTTGCTTGGTTTAGCTTATCTTGTTCCTAGAGATCAGTGAATTATAGAAATTTTAAAAGTTGCATTGGGTATCATAAGTGACCTTTTGTTTTACATGCTGGTTTTTTTTTTTTTTTTTAGTTCGAGTTCCCATTACCCTGGATTTTGATTGCATGTGTTTACAAAGCAGAATTGTTTTATTGCCCTCCTACTCAGACAGTAAAAATGCGAAGCCCATCCTTTCAACATGCTTGTTCTCCTCTGAATAGAAAGATTCTTTTGCAGATTTCCTGTACTTGTTCATAGTAATTTTAAAAGATTTGATAGTATTGTATACTAAGAACTGTGATAAAACCAATTATTATGTGTAGCTTCATCATTTCTAGGGACATTCTCTACCTTTCAAAAATGTGAGACAAACAAAATTAAGATTCCAGTAATAAAACTAAATGGCATTTAAAAAATGTTTTTATAAAGTAGATAATGTTTGTGGTGCCTCAATATTTTGCCATTTGCTTATCTATGTGCAACGTACCCAGTAGGTTCGCTGATGCTTCTTGAACCTGGCTGCTGGTGTAATGTTCCTTCTTCACTCACCAGGTTGTTTCTCAGCAAAAGTAATTCTTTCTTGCCATTGATTTTGCAATATACATAACACTATGGTTTGGTCACCAAAGGCTGGAGATGCCTTCTAGGTTTTCTAGCCAGCTGTTTTTTATCTTATGACAGAAGATCTACTTTCTGATATCACAGCCCCAGATAGATCAGGGAACTTGATTTTATTTCCTTAGCCCAGATTACAAGCTAGCAGAGTGGCACCATCCCAAGAATGGAAACACACGTTCTGTAGAAAAGGCAGTGGCTGAAGCTCTGTTCATGAGCCTTTTGCAACAGCCACACTACTCCTGACCTGCTGTCTTACTTAAGATGCCTTCCTTCTTCGGTCAAAGAACTAAACATAATTATTTTTAAGTGTGTATCATTATAATTTTTTGTTGTGTTAAAAAGAACTTAAGGAAGTGATCATTATATATATGTGACATTGCCCCATTATTTTGAATATGTTAGAATGTTGAGAACAAAGTCAAGACAAAATTTTGTAATATTATATAAAGCGTCTGTTTATTTTTCATGTTTCCATAGAAGGTATTCCTACAGAAGAAATCAAAAATGTTCTGGAGAAGGTTTTATCAGAATGGAAGAATGTATCTCAGCGTTTGGAAGATCTGGCAAGAAAGGTTCAGCTACAGGAAGATATAAATGCTTATTTTAAGCACCTTGAAGAGCTTGAAAAGGTCATAAAGACAAAGGAGGAGTGGGTGAAACACACTCCCTTTTCTGAATCTCCCCAGCAGTCCTTGACAAGTTTGAAGGATTCCTGTCAGGTAAAGAGCCAACCGGTTGTGTGGAAGGTGAAAGAATTTCTATGCCCAGTCCCATATTTAAGGAGGGTGCTTCTCATATCAATGAACTTTAAGCTAATTCTGCTCTGATTATCTATTTGTGAGGATGTTCATCTTCAGTGTGTTATGTGACCATAATTCTTCTCTTCCATAGCGGGAATTGACAGATCTCCTTGGCCTCAACCCCAGAATTGAAATGGCTCGTGAAAGCTGCTTGGCCCTGAAGTGTCGGCCTTCTGCTCCAGATTTTGTCCAGCAAGGCTTTGATAGATTTCTGGGCCGTTACCAAGCTGTACAACGGGCTTTAGAGGATCGTCAGCAACAGCTAGAGAATGGTAAACCCATTCCTTTGGTTTTCTTATTCGATGACTTTAATATCTCTTCTCTTTGTTTGCCTGAATTTAACAATTAGTCCCAACATTTAGACCTTTAGAAAACTGCTTTTTTTTTGCACCAGCCTCACTCTATTTTCCTCTGTGCCTATCTTAAAGTATACTGTATCAAGACTCTCCCCTGGATTCACACTTGTTTGTAACAGCTTTCACATGCTCTAGAATGGTGTTAATAGGATATAATGATTTTTAAAGAGTTTTTTTTTTTTAAAAGAGAAACAGGTACTCCTGTTTCTTCCTTTGGTTGAGGTTGAGGATTATTTGTCGTAGGACTAAAAAGAATGATCACTTACTTCTGTTTTCTAAAAAATGGTTAAAGTTTTAGCCAGGCCATCATCATGTCTTTTAAAAGAAATCATGTTCCTGTTTCAGAATCCGAAAAATTTTAGAGTTCTTCATTTTGGAATGCACTTGGTTTTGGGAAGTTAACTGTTAGGGATTTTGAAAGCTTTGTCCCTCATATTACATTTTTTTTCTCCCCAGCTGCTGTTTAAGTTAGGAATTGTGTTGTATTGTGTATTGTTACGGGTTGCACATGCTAAAAAGCGCTACATGTAACCACACCCTTACTTCTGCAATTGTAGATTGCATGATGGCTTGAAGAATCTGTATGTGTGCATGTTAGGAAAATGTGTCATGTTGCCTTTCTTCTGGAAAGGTATGGGGGACACCATGTGTTTGTTTATTGAATCCAGTTAAGCTAGAATGTGAGATAAATCTTTGAGAATACGTCTTTCTCAATTTCCTGGTACAAACTATGCTTTCATTTTTGACAGTGCTCAGTAGGCAGTTTAACTTTTGCTGCTAGTAGGTGTCACCTCTTTGTGCTTCGAATGAACTCACTTCCTTTCCACACAAGTGTTACTTGTAAGTTATTTTTATGTTAGTGACTGACGTAAACACTATTCTAGCGGGTTTTTGCATTCATTATTCCTCAGAGTACCTGTGGCCGCCTGGTCACAGTATTTCTGTATAACGTCCACCACTCTGTAGATGGGTTTGTCTACACACTTGAGTTTATAGGAAGACTGCTTGAGAGGATCTTTGTTTCCTTTTATTCTTTGTGTAGCTAATGGGGAAAAAAAGATTATATGGGACAAAAGGGACCTTGTTGTTCCATCTTCAGAGAGACATTTCATCATGATGAAATGAAGAAAAATGATAGTGGGTTAGTTAATATTTCAAACGTCAACATCCGCAGGAATGAAGTCACTGTCTGACTCTCAGAAATGCCAGTGGAATGATCTATTATGTTAACTAACAGAGACCCTTTTTAATTTTAACCATGGGGTCTCACTTATCATGTATTGGAATTCACTTATTATATATAGAAGATGAATGGTATATATAATAGCATTAGGCTCCTAACATTATTTTCTCAAAGCAAATATTTTTTAAATAAGCAGAACTGAAGAGCCAACCTGGACATGAATATTTGGAAACATTGAAAACACTGAAAGACATGTTAAGTGATTCAGAAAGTAAGGCCCAGACATCTCTGAATGTCCTTAATGATCTTGCCAAGGTAGAGAAGGCCCTGCAAGAAAAAAAGGTAAGATATATTACTACATGTTAAAACTCTAGACTTTGTAATATCTGATATTACATATTTTGGAGTGTTTTTCTAGAGTTTAAAAAAATTGGTCATTTTGGTCAAAACTGGTCCAAAAATTTCTTATTATTTGAAGGTTAGTACTATAATGTAGAATGTCAGATAAAAGAAAAGACAGTCATTAAATATTTTTAATAGAAGAAAAGCATATGTTCTTCTATTGTAATTAGATTAAAATTCTAAACCGGTTCATAATCTGCTAAAATATCTTTAATAAAATGAGGGCTGTCAGTTGAATTGATTTGTACTTTTTTTCTATGTTGAATAAAAATGCTTCCCCGATGATTCAGTTGAGTAGATCAGGTTCTGCAATATTTTATTAGATAAAAAAGGCTGGCCATTGGGCACTGCACGCTCTGTCCACGCTGGATGTGTTGTTCGAGTGGTTTTTGGTGTTGCGAATACATTATGTTGCCCACACACGATAACTCATAAAGGAAAAGCTTTAGCTCTTTTGATTATGCCTATGTTTTTCATGAGCTTTTCACAATGGTTTTTTGATAAAAATGCTTTTTAAAGTGACTTTTGACTTTATATAGCCCATATTATTATATCTGTATAGACACATTGTTGTGTATATTTTTAATCTTTTAAAACTTTTTCCAGGCCCTTGATGAAATCCTTGAGAGTCAAAAACCTACATTATATAAACTTGCACAAGAAACCAAGGCTTTGGAGAAAAACGTTCCTCCTGGAGTAGAAAAAACGTATAAGCAAGAATTTGATGATGTCCAAGGAAAGTGGAACAAACTAAAGGTCATGGTTTCCAAAGATCTGCATTTGCTTGAAGAAATTACTCCCAAACTCAGAATGTTTGAGGTAAATCCAGAGGCCACTGGGAGTTTAAGTTTATTACAGGGTAAATAGTAATTACCATGTAAGATTCAAATATCTATTATTTGAGTATTTTGCATTCTTTCTAGACCCACATTTTATTATGTACTTAAGCTGGGATTTATCAAAGGCATACTTTTAATGTGCTGGAGAACACATTTATTTCTTTTGCCTTGCAGAAAAGTCTTCTTGGTAGTGGTAAACTGGCCCTTGAAGATAAGAGAAAATTGCTTAAAAATGGTCAAAATAATATTTCAGGCATGAGGGGCCTGCATGAAGTGTGGTGATTAGATTGTAGCGGTAACTCGGTTGGAGTGGTAGAAGTAGCCCAGGAAGTAGCAGATAGCCGAGTCCAGGAACCTATTTTTGTTGTTGTTGTTTTTTAAGATTTTTGGCATTTGAAGTTGAAAATCTAAACTGGGCCATCAAAAACCGGTGTCACGCTGGGAAAGCAAGTAGTTCCAGGCACATGAAAGTTCAGAAGCAGGATCCTTTGCTACATCTCAAAATGCTGACAGGTGAAGCAATGGTAAAGGTCAAGAGGAAAGAATGAATGTGAGGACATAAAAGGAGAGAGTCAGTGTCAGATAAGACAGGCTGGATTGTAACATTTTGCCTGTGAGAAAGGTGGAAGTGGAGTTTCCAAATCCGCCTGGTTTTCTACTAGGAAAGATCTAGATAGAGAGTGGACCAATCACACACTCAGTAAGGCTTCCTGTCCTCCCAGAGCCTCCTCACCTTGGGCTTTTTTTTTTCCTATGGGTCAGGGATCTTTGTCTTTTTTGTTTTTCTTTGCCAGTGTATCTCATGCTATACTTCTAGCACAGTGCCTAGCAGAGAGAGGGCATGCAATAAATATTTTTTGATGAATGAAATGAGATTAGTAACAGGAGATTTAAATTTGGAGATATATATTTGGATGTAGGTCCTAAGAGAATTGTGTGAGGAATGTTGCTCAAAACAGTGAAAAGATTGAAAGTGAAGACGAAACTTAAGAAAATGTATGTTTTTAACATCAAAGTCAGAGAACAGTGTTAGAAGAGGAGCTGGAAGTCTGTTCGGATCACTGTGGACAGGATCCAGCAAGATTCCATGAGTGGTGACCATGGAATTTAGAGGGACGCTCTTTGGCTCAGGAGCTAAGGGACAGTCCCAGTGAGTGACCAGCAGGAGCATACAGAGGGAGGGGTTGTGTGTGTGTGTGGCTGTGTGGTGGTAGTGGCAGGAGGTAAGTTCTAGACTGAGATTTCATTTGAATAAGCAATTAGGAAGAGAGATTTGTTATGTGCGGCTTAGTATTTTTGACCCATTTAACTTTGTGAGTGATCCCACTTCTTATATGTTGCCAGTAGTAATTGTTTCTAACTTGAAAAATGAGAATTACCCTATTCATGATTCTAAAATTTTTGGTTATGGTTCAAGCATTGGATTATTAGAGATTTTCAACTAGGGGTGATTTTTACTCTCCAGAGCAGGGGTCCCCAAACTATGGTGAGTTGTATAATTATTTCATTATATATTACAATGTAGTAATAATAGAAATAAATTGCATAATAAATGCAATGCCCTTGAGTCATCCTAAAACTCCCTCCTCTCATTCCCAATCCATAGAAAAATTGTTTTCCATGAAAACGGTCCCTGGTGCCAAAAAGGTTGAGGACTGCTGCTCCAGAGGTCACGTGTTAATATCTGGAGACATTTTTTTGTTGTCACATCTGTGGGGGGAGGTGTTTAATGGGTAGAGGCCAGGGGTGCAGCTGCACAGGACAGGCCCCACAACAAAAGCGTTATCTGTTTTCCCAAGTGTCAAAAGTGCCAAAGTTGAGCAATGCTGGATTAAGTATTTCTTATCTTTTCAAAATATCATCTTTTTGTTTTCCAATTTAATTCTGAGAGGTATTTGGGGGGAATTTACAAATGAAGATTAACTTCAAGGTTAATCTTTTGACCTTTAAAAGTGAGTTTTAGGGTTAGCTAAATGTGTGCCACATTTTAATATGTAATTTAAGGAGAATAAATTTTCTCCCAAAACACAGGACAGAGTCCTGTGGTTATAGTAATCAGCTTTAGGATTTAGTGGGTTGTTACTAACGTTAGGATAGGTTACTTAATGTTGTTCCTAATCCAGGCACTTAACGTGGCCAGTGGGAGTATGTGCCACGTATTTATTTCCATTAAAGCGTGTGTGTCTTGGTATTCGAGGTTTTTTGTTGTTGTCCTTATTATAGTAGCAGACTTGTAATGTCCAGGGTTTTTTTGTTTGTTCCTTTGTATGCCAACTACAAGATTGATGACAATGTCTGTATTTCTCAATTGTGCAAAAACTTCTTCATTGAAATGCAAGTATTTCAATAGATTTAGGAGGTACAAATGGCTTTTGTGTTACATGGATAAACTGTGTAGTGGTGAAGTCAGGGCTTTTAGTGTACTCATCACTCAAATAGTGTGCACTGTACCTAATAGGTAGTTTTTGATCCCTCACCCCAACCCTCCCCTTTTCTGAGTCTCCAAAGTCCATTTTACCCACTCTGTGTGACCCATCATTTAGCTACAGCATACAAGTGAGTACATGTGGTATTTGTTTTTCCATTTATGAGGTGCTTCACTTAGGATAATGGCTTCCAGTTCCATCCAAGTTGCTATGTAAGATGTTAGTTATTTCATTCTTCTTTATGGCTGAGTAGTAGTCCATGGTGTGTGTATGTGTGTATATATGTGTGTGTGTGTATATATATACATACATACATACACATTCCAAACTTTCTTTATTCTTTCAGGGGTTGATGGGCAATTAGGTCGATTCCATATCTTTGCAATTGTGAATTGTGCTGCAATAAACATATGAGTGCATCTGTTTTTTTGATGTCTTTTTCCTTTCTTTGATTTGAAGTAATTGCTTATTACTTCACTACTTACAATTCCCTTTGGTAAAACTTTAAAATTGGCCCCCAAAGTTATTAGATAATTACAACAAATATTCATTTGCGGGTTAGCATTGTGTTTCCTTTTTCAATGACCTAATATATAATTTTTTAGGCATTTAAGTTCTATTTGTCTTTAAGGCAGGAGGCATAGTAAGTTTTAGATTTAATGCCAGTTTTTAATGATGCTTCTTAGGAATAAAAATAATTGGATTGTTTATTTTTAAAATGCATTTTTTATTATGTAAGTAATACATGAAGACTGCACATTGTGAAGAAATTGAATAACACGGAACTATTTAAAGAGAACATTTAGAGTTCTTGTTCTTCCCCAATACCGTTTTCCACCACCCTGGAGGCAGCTAATATTAACAATGGCTCCTTGCTGGAGGCTAATGTATTCAAATTAAAAAAGGGGAGTCCATGAATATTGTTAATTCTAATCATTTTTTCTCCACATTATAGAAACAAATGATATTGGAAAGCCAGGAGGAACATTTAAGTAGATAGAGCTTGGATTGTGAATTCCACTACTTAAAATGATAATGCCTTTCATTGACATAGCACATTTACACTTTGAAAGTTATTTTCATGGCTGTGTACTTTGCTTTTTTCTACTATCCTGTAATACTTTGTGTAAGATGCTCTTGTTTGTGTGTAAATTAAAAAAAATTATTTTTAATTATTATGGGTACATAATAGTTATATATATTTATAGGGTACGTGTGTTGTTTTGATATAGGCATATAATGTGAATTAATCAAATTAGGGTAACAGGGGTATCCTTATTGTTGATTATAGTTGCTTTGTTGTGCTATCATATATTGTTCATTCTATCTATCAAACTATATTTTTGCACCCATTAACTATCTCCACTGTTCCCTGCTACTCTTCCCAGACTCTGATAACCATCATTCTACTCTCTGTCTCCATGGGATCAATTGTTCTTAATATTTACCTTCCACATATGAATAAGAACACGTGAGATTTGTCTTTCTGTGCATAGCTTATATTACAACGTAATATTCTTCAGTTCCATCTATGCTGTTGCAAATAGCAGGATTTTATTCTTTTTATGGATGTATAACATTTCATTGTGTATATGTACCACAATTTCTTTATCCATTGATCCATTGATATGGACACTTAGGCTAATTCCAAATCTTGGCTATTGTGGATAGTGCTGCAAATAACATGGAGTGCAGATATCTTTTCATTATACTGAATTCCCTTCTTTTTGATATATACCTACTAGTGAGATTGCTGGGTCAAATGGTAGTTCTATGTTAGTTTTTTGAGGAAACTCCATTCTGTTCTCCATAGTGTTTGCACTAATTTACATTCCCATCAACAGTGTACGAGAGTTCCCCTTTCTCTACATCTTTACCAGCATTCATTATTGCCTGTCTTTTTCATAAAAGCCAAAATTTTAACTGGGTGAGATTCTATCTCACTGTAGTTTTGATTTGCATTTCTCTGATGACTAATGATGTTGAATCTTCTTTCATATACCTGTTGGCCATTTGTATGCCTTCTTTTGAGAAATGTCTATTCATATCCTTTGCCTATTTTTTAACCAGATTATTTTATTTTTTTTCTATTGAGTTGTTGGCATTCCTTATATATTCTAGTTATTAATCTCTTGCCAGATGTGTTATTTGCAAATATTTTCTCCCATTCTGTGGGTTGTGTCTTCAGTCTGTTGATTTTTTGTTTTGTTTTGCAGAACCTTTTCAGCTTGTTGTAGTACCATTTTTCCAATTTTGCTTTGGTTGCTTGTGCTTTGGGGATATTACTCAAGAAGTCCTTGCCCAGACCGATACCGTGTTTCCCTGAAAATAAGACAGGGTCTTATATTTATTTTTCCTCAAGAAGACACCCTAAGGCTTATTTTCAGGGGATGTGTTATTTTTTCCTCAGAGCCTCAGCTTGCAGCATGCACAGGATGGCCGGGACCTAACAGGGGGAGTCAACCTTGTTGGTGGGGCTGCCTGTACCTTTCTAGTCACCTCTGGGATAGTTGCTGTCACGATGGGGCAGATGAGAAGGGCTGCTCATCTTCTT